TCGGCCAAAGAAATGGCCAACAGATTCAGATTCAGGGCCCTCGATAACCTATAGCAAAGTTCTCTCAAAACGACCAAAAGTCTTAAATTAAGCTAACCTCTTGTAAATGTTTTTTTTGACCCCGACACAGACAGACAGACAGACACACAAACTATTTTTTTTCATATGACCCTCCCTACAGTCGAGGGAATAAATAAAAACATCATTAGAATTACATGAACTTTAATGCCAGCATAAAATATAATAATATAAATCATTTTTACATCATTTTTATTGAAACCTTGCCAGGCTGCTATAAATAAATAATTCAAATAAAAATTATGCAATATTCTTTTAACTGATTTCGTAATTGAAGCAAAAGCTCGATGACAAATTAACATCTTTTTTTCGCTTAGTCATGTGGGTCCTTTTCTCGTTCTTTAGAGTCGTTTAAAATCGTCACGTAGTATGTTATTCTCAAAAGAGATATAATTTTTTAACATAAAAGAGTTTTAAAATTTTGTCATTATTCATAGTTTGATAGCTATTTGAATTTTTCATAGTTATGGGACTTTTTAATAACTATTTAAATCTTTCATAGCTATATAAATTTTTCGTAGCGGTTTGTTTTTCATAGTTATGTAAACCTTCCATATCTATGAAATTCTTTTACGGCTTATTAAACTAATATTCACCGTTTGTTTAAAAATACAGGTCTTGAAATATCTCGATGAACAGCTACTCAAAGTGAAACATTTTTTCATGATTAAGAGTAGTAGCGAATAAATTTCCATTATTATAATCCAGATAAATATTTTAATGTTATTTATTTGTTTGGAGTAGGAAATGGAAGATGAATAAAAGACACTGGTTTGAAGAAAGGAGGTATCTCCATGAGTATCTTCTTAAATATGAAGCTGTACTGGTTTCCAATATTCAGTATTAATTGATTTATATTGATATTTTCTTAAACAAGCGATCGGTATCTTATCATGTCAAGTATTTAAAAGTAGTACCTCATACATATGATTCATTAGTTAATGATGTTCACCATTGCTAATTACTTAAAATGTATTGATAATTATTAAATCTATATTTCAACATATATAATGATTATATTTCGTAGGCTAGATGCCTGCAGTTCCAGGTAATGAGTATCATTTTTAAGTATAACTATAGAAAAATCAAACATCTATGAAAAGTCTTAATAGCCTTGATGATGTATGTGAATAACTGAACGTTGGTTTGAAAACTATCTCTTTTAAGGAACTGCGTACTTGGCATCCCTTCTTCATGAAAAATAGCTCCACACTGGTGTGAAAAGTACTAACAATGTGTTTCATATGCCTTTTAATTATCCTGAAAAGCAATGTCATATACTTATGTACAAAGGATTTCGTTGAATTTCACAAGGTTCTGTTGATAGATGCCATCGAATTACGAAAAAAAGAATCTGATGATATCGGACACTCGGAAACTCTTGACAAGTAAATAACAACGATATCATTCGACAATCAAATCTTACTGCAAATGTATTGTGCAACATTCTTCGATACTATGAGGTTCTCATCAGACTTAAGTCTATAACTTCGACCAGAACGAACCTAGTGTCTTTCTGCCACAATTTCATTACAACTTCGACCTAGGATACAGGAAGGCTTCATAAAAGTGAAAAACTTCCGCTCTTCATGTTACAAAGATATCTGAACGTAATTCTTGGATCCAAAGAAAAACTCATACAATACTTTTTGTCTTGTTTGACACATTTTCCTACTGCTGAGAGAATTTCAACGACTAAATATAGTTTGTCTTGTCACAGCAGCCAGCTGATGAACGAAGCTGAGTTGTATCAAACATTTATCAGTTACAAACAAACAAGAGGCTTCAGAAACCATATTCATAGTTCCACATCTTCCATATGAGCGATAATTCAGTTAAAAAATCAGAATCGAAAAGAGGATCATTAATAGTTTCTTAAACTACCAACGACATACACTTATATGCCATCATCTTAACATTGACCTAATAGTCGATACCATGCTGAGACACTTTAAATGGCTACAAAATTGGTCTGTAGCTAACCAATGAAAAAACCTACTTAGGATACCTACTGGTATCCTTTGCAAAGCTACCCAGAGCACTTCTGAATAGTACTTGAAAAGTTCGCCTGGGTAACCGTAGATAGCCCAGCCGGAGTTAGTGATACTATTCCTGAATAGCCATTCAAAAGTTACCCAGAGTACCCCTAAGCAGCCCTCGAGAAGTCAGCGATTCTACCCTATGGTCGTGCTTGACAAGTTACTCAGAGCACCCCTTGGCAGTTCTTCAGAATTCAGTAAACGTATTCTAGATAGCGCTTGAGAAGTTATCCCGAATGCTTTATGGCAGTTCCGGAGAAGTCGGTAATGCTACTCCTAGCTAGCGCTTCGGAATTCACGCAGCGTACCTCTTGACAGCCCTTGAGAAGTCAGCAATGCTATTCCTAGGTAGCGCTTGAAAAGTTATCCCAAGTGCCCCTATGATAGTCACTCAGAAGTCAGTAATGATACCCCTAGGTAGCGCTTGAAAAGCTACGTAGAGTATCACATGACAGTCCTTGAGAATTCAGTAACGGTACCCGTACATAGCGCTAGAAAAGTTACGTAGAGTATCCCTTAGCAGTCCTTCAGTAGTCAGTAATGGTACCCCTAGAGAGCGCTTGAAAAGTTACCCCAAGTACCCCTTGGCAGTCCTTCAACAGTTAATAACGGTACCCCCAGATACAGCTTGAAAAGTTACCTGGAGTATCCATTGGCACTCCTTCAGAAGTCAGCGATGGCATCCATACGTAGCGCTGGAGAAGTTATCCCAAGTACCCATAGAGAGATCCAGAAAAGTTACAAAGACTACCACCGGATAACTATAAAAAGTTAAAGATAGTATGTCAAGACAGTAATCTAGAAGCGACACTAAGTATATGTATTAGCATTAAAAATAATGCTAATTTAATGCCAAACCTATGCATTAATTAACACTAATGCTTAGGCATTAGCATTATTTTTGAAATTAATGCTAATACGACACCCCTACTCTCTATCGAAATCGAACCGATGCACCACAGTGAGCCATGATATAACGCTCAAATCTTGTGAGCAACAGAGTGGTAATTTTTTCAATGACACCTTGAACCAAGATTTGAACACACGATCAGTCGATTACAAACTGAACACAACCAACTCCGAGCTTAACACAGCCCGAACTTGTTTCTATGTTCATTAATTGCATGAACAGCTCGTATTACATTACTTTTACAAGTTTGAGGATGGAGTTGTTGATTTTTTTTTCAATTTTTACTTGGTGAAATAAATATAAATTTAGATATTTATCGTCATAAAATCAAGATAAATATATTCTTGATATTTATAAAAAAATTTAAAATAAAGAAATAAAAGCTTTTAAAATTAAAAAAATTTAAAATTACAGAATAGAAATAATAACTTGCTCTGCGGTAAATAAATATGGGAGTGCCCAACTTGGCTGATACCCCAAGATAATGGACAGGAAACAATATTATTCTACGAAAGAGTATATAATGAATTTTATACCAAATGAAAGCTCGTCAAAAATGGGATTTATTGGTACTAAATAGTAAGGGTTTTGTGAACTTTGTAATGTCGAACTTAAGAAAGTTTGAGAAATTTTATGCATTAAAAAAATGTTAAAAAAACACACATTTTTTACATGGAAAAAGAACACTACATTCTTCCATAAAATTAGCTTTTTTCATTATTTCTAGTACCTCACATGTTTCGAAATATATTCATAGATACAGCGTGGGAAACTGAATCGAACAAGTGTATTTCTAAACATGTGAGGTACTAGAAATAATGAAAAAAGCTAATTTTATGGAAGAATGTAGTGTTCTTTTTCCATGTAAAAAATGTGTGTTTTTTTAACATTTTTTTAATGCATAAAATTTCTCAAACTTTCTTAAGTTCGACATTACAAAGTTCACAAAACCCTTACTATTTAGTACCAATAAATCCCATTTTTGACGAGCTTTCATTTGGTATAAAATTCATTATATACTCTTTCGTAGAATAATATTGTTTCGTGTCCATTATCTTGGGGTATCAGCCAAGTTGGGCACTCCCATATATACATATGTGCTGTGAAAGCATTAATTAATTTTTCTTTTTGGTGTGGGTGTGGGTGTGAGAGAACACGATCCACACCCATACCCCACACCCACACCCTTAAAATAATTACTATCAGATAAAATTATGTTCAAACTTTATAAGAACGTGAAACACAATGAATTAAGTAGTTTGTGGTGCATGAATAGCTAAGAAGTAACGATAATTTATACAATAGAGAAAAGATAAGATGAAATTTTAAGCTGTAACATCAATTCTTCGATTTCTGATGAGCAAACTGTTATCTACGTCTAACATTAATGCACATTTAGTCAAACTTAAAGTTCAGTACTTGTTAATCTTTGTCCGACGTGTGTGTAAGTATTGTTTTATAGATTTAATGCTGCGCTAACAGTGGTCAAAAAAGTGGCAAGAACAATAATGTATGTTGTCGGGGCTGTAATGGTGCCGAGAGCTGTAATGGTAACATCGACACACGATAACCACATGACACCTGGACCGACTTCATTATTACGCCAAAAGAATTGAAATATACCATCTGTAGTCGTATTCAAGGGAACAGTAATTGTAGCCAAAACTATCTGACCTAACTGGAATCCAATGGCCGGAGCAACACCAATAGATCCTGATATTGAAGTATTTAAATAAGTAAATGCAATCGGAGAAAATGTTGAACCAGGCTGTGTACCATCCCGATAACGAATTTGCCAACCATCAGCGGGATAAATGGTTTGGTTTTCCGGTGAATGGATTTGAGAAACAAATATTTGAAATGTTTGCGATGAACCAGCAGGCCATGAAGCAGCCGTTTTACCTTGAAATCCTGGATCGTAAGTGTTACCTACTGGAGCATTGGTTATCAAAACAGACCCATTACATGTTGTTTGGCTTGTTGGACTTGCAGCAATTAATGTACTATTGGCCGGTAAACTCCAAACTGGTCCTTGAGCTCCTAACGTACCATTAGCAGCGCATGAACCATTAGTGCAATAAACGTTACGTGGCGTTGGATAAGAAAAGTAAGCATGACCATAGATCCATGACACAAAATGACCTAATATACCAAGAGTAACAAGTAAGAAAAGACGGGAAGACATCATTTCGATGATTTCAAGAATGCAGTACGATATTGTCAAGTTGTAGATATAACTCACTTTATTTCTAAATTCTGTAGCTTGAAAAGAAAATGCACGTGTTTTTAATAGTATACGCACTTACCTCACCTGTCAACTAATCGACGTGTAAGAATAAATAGCCCTATATATATGTATGCAATGATTCATAGACATGTTCTATTACGCATGTCGATTAATTTGTATAGGTGGGATCAATGTATAATTAAAGAAATAGTGAGAAAGAAAATTAAAAAAAATATGCATTGCTTCTGCGCACGAATACATAGAAAAAGTTACCAGTAAATTTGAGTACTTCACAACATATTCATTTAGTGATATATGTTGAAACGAGATACTCTCCATGTGAAAATTTTTGCCTTTGTAAGCTATTTTTAAGCGGCTTAAATAAGCTTACACTTCAATTAAGTGCTTTAAAGCGCTTAAATACTACGGTCTTAAGCTGCTGAAAGCGGCTTCAACTAATTAAGCCGCTTAATATAGCTTACAACGCGCTTTGAGAAGCGCTTTCCAGCGCTTATCATGAAAAGTGCTGAAAAGTACCGTAGATTTTTATTTCTTTAAGCGCTTTCCAGCACTTATCATGGAAAAAGCTGAAAAGTACTGTGAATTCTTATCCTTCTAAGCACTTTTCAGCACTTATCATGAAAAAAAGCTGAAAAGTGCTGTAAATTTTTATTCTTCTGAGTGCTTTTCAACGCTTATCATGGACAAGGCTGAAAAGTGCTGTGAATTTTTATCCTTCTAAGCGCTTTTCAGCACTTATCATGAAAAAAGCTGAAATCCATGTGAAAATTTTTGCCTCTGTAACTGGCATCCCACTCCGCCTCTTTTCCCTCCTTTTCCTCTTTTCTTTCAAAATTCCTCTTTTTACACTCTTTTTTCAGAAAAATCCTCTTTTTCCTCTTTTCTCACGACAAAGTAGGCTGCTGGCGAAAACATCCATGAATATATTGATTAATGTTACCATATCATACAAAAATATCACATAATACAAACTGATGTGTAGATCAATCGAGTTGTATAATTATGGAGGCTAAAGTAGATGATTTTAGTGATCAACTCCAGTGATATTTTATATTCCTAATTGAGATTCAATTTTTATAACTTTCTAGAGTAGGCAAAATCACTCAATTATATTTTCGATGTGAACTCATCATTTTCTCACGATCTTGGCAAGTTTTTCTGGTTAACATCGACATGTAAAATCATAATCGTAAGCTTACTTTTCTTGACCGTTTTCTCGGCACCACAGAAGCTCGTGATGTAAATCTAACAATGGATAACTATCTCATAGCGTAACGCATGCGTCAAAGTGAGAAGAAGTCTCCAGAGTGGCTAGACCTATCCTAGAATCCTGTCAGATCCGATGGGATTTCTTCGGCAAGATAGCTTCCGACACTATGATGTCGTAAGTTGAAGATTTCTGCTTATCAGATACCGATAAAGGTTTTCATGTTGTATCCGGCAATATTTGATCCTTCAAAATTGCTGCGATCATTACAGATCCCGTGGTGCGCTGCTAGATTACCTTATGCGATTGATTTACTGTCAAAACGAAGTAACTCTTCTCCTTCCGAGTTTCTCCGTGTACAATCACATTTTGGACGATCGTATATCTCCAAACCGTACATGGAGAAATATGATCTTATACGAAGAAACACAGAGTAAAATGAAAGCCGTATACGAGCTTTGTTTGTCCATAAACGATCATATTTCTGCGCATAGGATCACGGAGTTATACAATCGTAATACTGGGTAATGTAAAACGCCGCATTTCTCCGATTACAAGCGTGTTTGCTTGACATAGGTTAATATTGACAACGATTTGATGATACTTGGAAGAAATCAGATATGATGGAATGCGATAGCGACAAACAGGGGCGCCTCGATGACCAAAAAGCAGGGAATCATATAATCTACCCAATACAAATAAGTCCTTTTCTACAGAACGCAGAAATATCACCATATTTCACTGGGAAAAATCAAGCGTTTTCGATAGCACGGGGCCAAACAATTTTTCAAAACCTCGCTGTCTGGATACCATTGCAATCAATGTAATAATTTACGCTGGGAAACGGAAAAGTGAAACTGACTTGAGAAAAACGATCAAAATCATGGAAGAATTGCTGGAGATTGCAAAAAACGAAAAAAATGCCTTTCTCACATGTGCAGTCATCTGAAAAAAACGAACAAAAAGCAAAAAAGACATTTTATGAATTCTGATCGTTTCTATTTCTGTGTGCCTACTTAGTCAGATAGAGTAATATTATAGTCAGATAATACGCAAATGGAATAGACTATTTTTCTAATGTTTTCCCGTTTTCTAATGCATACATAACCAATTGCACAAACATCTCTATGAACAAGTGGAAGTTTCGTTTCTTTTTTACTTTTTTCAAGTCATATTCAATCTGTATTGATAACGTACGAGTTTTATTGGATTTATACTACTATTGTGCCGATGGGTTTTAGTTTTCTTCGGACAAAAACTGTATGCCGCTTTTTCTTCTCTTTTTTCCAAGAATGCTGTGCCTCTTTTTTCCTCTTTTTTTACAAAGTGTTGGTGGGATGCGAGCTCTGTAAGCTACTTTGAAGCGGTTTAAATAAGCTTACACTTCAATCAAGTGCTTTAAAGCGCTTACACATTACGGTCTTAAGCTACTGCCAGCGGCTTCAACCAATTAAGCCGCTTAATATCGCTTACAATGCGCTTTGATAAGCACTTTCCAGCGCTCATCATGAAAAGTGCTGTAAATTTTTATGCTTTTAAGCGCTTTGTGGCGCTTATCATGAGAAATGCTGAAAAGTACTGTAGTCTTTTATTCCTTTATGCGCTTTCCAGCACTTTTCATGAAAAGCGTTGAAAACTACTGTAAACTTTTATCTTTGGAAACTTGAAAATGCTGTTATCTTTCATATGTTAAAACGCACCCATGTGCAAATTTTTGGCTTTGTAAGCTATTTCTCACCAGCTTAAAAAGCTAACCCTGCAGTAAGCTACTGTAAAGCGCCGAAGTACATCCATTTCAAACTTCTGAAAATTACTTCGCTAAGAAAAGCCGCTTCCCAGTCAGACAAAAATTTTGAAAAACGCGTTTAAACGCACAATCGGGGACCGCGATTGTAAGCCATTAACGGTCATTAAAAAAACGCACGAAAACGCGTTTATTGGCGTTTTCTGTAACTTTCTGGGCGTCAAAACGGCGAAAATTCCAGCTTTTGAGCGTTAAAACGCACTGTTATTCTAGAACTTAAAAACAATACGTTTTAACGCTCAAAAACTGGAATTTTCGCCGTTTTGACGCCCAGAAAGTTACAAAACACGCCAATAAACGCGTTTCCATGCGTTTTTTTAGTGAGCGTTAATGGATCACAGGCGCGGTTCCCGATTGTGCGTTTAAACGCGTTTTTCAAAATTTTTGTTTGACTGGGTTAACGTACCTTATAAAACGATTTTTCAAACATTCTAAGCTCTTATCATGAAAATCGCTGATAAGTACTGTGACCTTTGTTACTTCTAAGAACTTTACACCACTTTACATGAAAATCGCTGAAAGCCCATCTCGTCAATTTTTCATCAAAACCGCCGGTTACCGGAAGCTCATAGGAAAATCGCCGGTTTGAAGCGGTTTCTGTTTGTTTATCAATTTTTTAATAATTTTTCTTCTAAATGAATATTTTTAGTCTTAAAAGAATCGGTTGCAACTCGAAAAAGTCTAGATAATTATGCAACAGTAAAATTCTGTCAGATGGAGCCATTGTTTTTTGTATTGGTTAAGTTATCTGACGAATAACTATTTTTATGGTGCCATCTTTCATAAAAATCTAAACTCGAAAACTAGGCGAATATAGTAGATGTGACTGGTACTGGCGCCTTCAGCGCGTTTGCATATGTAAGGGGCGACGATTTCAACATAATTCTAACGGTTTTGTAAGAGTTTAAAAATATTCACCCTTTGTGATGTGAGAAAACGTTTAGCTGTCGAACCGCGGTTAACCGGACGGTCAAGCTCCCCGTTAACTTGATGGTTAACCGCAGTTAACCGTCAGTTTTCGAGCGCTTTGAGCGACATGGGAGTGCTTCATTTTTTCTTATATTTAAGCGCTTGGCATAATTTACATTAAAAAGTATTGAAAAAGGTCAGTGACTCATTCAGAAGGCCAGTTAGAACAAGCATTGATTGCCAATTTACCTTACTTTTCGAAATATTTTTTTTTGTTTTTTCTAATTAGAAAATGTTCACAAAATGAGTCGATATCACTGTTAGTGGAATTCGAAACACTTGTTTTTTTGATCAGGATCAGCCTTTTTCAACCTCCTACGTATACCACTGCGGTCTTGTCGTTTTCTCAAATTTGAGTCCTACAAATCGTTATAATATTTGATTGCGCGTGCTGTAGTTAAGAACATTTATAGTCACGGTAAACTTTGGAGTAACATCTGCTTCAGATTTCACTGGATGCTTGCAGATCAACACTCTAACATGGAGCATATCACTTGCTCTAACTTAACTTAGCCATAATGTTTACCAGTGGCGAAGAATTCGTTATTATTCACTATCAAAGCGATTCGAAGATGCCAGCTCTTCCAATATGCCAGCAAAAATTTAGAATTTTTAGTTTTTTGTGAATACTTTTCCATTTTCTCATTGTTTTTTACTTTTGAGACTTTTCCAATTTCAAGCCTTTTTCAGTCTGAATGAAATTGAAATATAACTATTTATTACGTGCACACTCGATGGTGTCGGTAGATTTTTCGATTTTTCCAATGAAATAAGAGCTGATTTAAGAAGTGTTGGGGGTGATTGTCTTCCATGTAAAAGTTTATTCTCAGTTTCTTCTAGTAGAAGAAGCTTAAAAATGAGCTTTTACTATCTTTTATGAGCTTCAAAACACGTTCTATGATCATGATCGCCCCTAATCTCCATTCAATTGCCGCACAAGCTAAAAACCCTAGATCCGCC